GTGTCCCCATGCAGGGTGACGAGGCTATCTCTTTGTTCTCTCCTGTTCCTTCTCTCCCCGCCTTGAATTCTGTATATCCAGGCTGTCAGTGTTACTGGGGTGCAGTGTGGCCATGGACACGGCGGCAACAGTCTTTTCTGTGACTGCACGTGCTTCCTTTAGTCCAGCTTTGCCGGAAGTGTGTGGATCCGTGTTCCCTGTGTCGGTACGTGTCACAGGAGTGGCCAAGGGCCTCATATGGGCCTTGGTCTTGGGCTATAGAAATGTGCCCTGGCAGGCTCTGGGTGTCTGTGTCCACGTCTGCCCCAGCTGTCTGTCTTCTGCTTGGTGCTGCCTGTCTGCAGCCTCTAGCTTGTCTCAAGTCAGTGCTCCTAGCAGTCACAACTGGCAGGCGTTGTCGCCCCCTCTCACAGTTCTGTCTGTAGGTTTATGCTCCCACTGGATCTTCGGCACAGCAGGTTTGTCTGTCTGATATGGGGTATTGCCATATTGCTTACGTTGGTTCTCAACTCTGGGCTTTAGTGGTCCTACTGCCCCAGCTCCTCCTGGCCTAGCACCGTGTCTGCAGAGCTCTGTTCTGGCATTTGCTCCAGGGCAGTTTTGTAGTCTGCTGTCCGGCTGTGCCATTATGCAGCCTGTACTAGATGGGCAGGGACTTGTCCCCACACGGGCCTCAGGAAGGTTTATTGAATGAAAGCAGTGGATGCCCAAACCTAACTTAATGAGCATCCAGCTGGACCGTACCTTTCAGCTGGTTCAAGAGCAGATCTGGCACCAAGACCAGAACTGTGCCGCCCTCTTAGATCAGCTGGGTAGTAGGGACCTGTGTCACTGCATGTCCAAAGGTGAACTCAAGAGGGATGGGTGGCTGTGGGTCACCCATTCCTTTCTACAACAATATACTTACTGTTCTAAACATGGTCACATGGCCTGAGTTCCCCTTTGGGTAGGGAAACAACGTGACCCTGTGAACTGGTCACAGTCAGGGCCTGTGGGAGTCCTTGGGGCATAGCAAGGCCTGGTGGGGCCAGACAAGGCACTGAAGGAACACAAGCGTGAGGAGAGCAGCAGACTGTCCCAGAGGAGCAGGGAGAGGGCGGCAGTGGAGGAGGAGCTGTAAGGTACTGCCGCTCTGCGTGCTGGAGGTGCACGGACTGATGAGGGTACATGATGGGCCATGGAGCCATAGATTCCGTGGTGGTGAGGAGACTGGGGAGGTGGTGTCTTCAGAGGTTGAGAGAAATTGTGGCAGTCTGGGAAAAGAGAAAATCTGGATGCATGGCTCAGAACCAGGCTGGTGCTACCAGTGTAGAGAACTGTTTCTTGACATTCTGTGTATTCTACTCTGCCAAGAACCTTATTGTTGTCCGGGTATGGTAGCACACTTTTAATCCCATCACTGTGTAGGGCTGGAGGGTAGAGACATGAATCTCTGAATGCCAGTTTGGTCTACTTTAGGAGTTTCAGGCCACCCAGGGCTATACAGGAAGATCATGTCTTTTAAAACAACAACGAAAACCAAAGCCTTACTGTGTAATTTATTTAGTTAAGAAACCCAATTAACTTTTTTTTAGCTTGGTGGTGGTGATACATACCTTAAATCCCAGTACTCTGAGGCAGAGGCAGGCAGATTTCTGAGTTCAAGGACAGCCAGGGCTACACAGAGATACCCTGTCTGGAAAAAAAAAATGAATGAATGAATATAAATAAAAATGTAAAAAAACCCATTTATTTTGTGGATACATGTGTACTGCATGACATGCAGTGCATATGGAGGTCAGAGGACAACTTTCAGAAATTGGCTCCAGAGTCTGAAGTCAGGTTGCCAAGCTTAGTCACCGACACCTTTACCTGCTGAGCCATCTCAGTGGTCTGGGGGCCCAGTTTTACTTTGTTTTGTAGTTGATAAGGATCTGGAGGGTTTTTTTTGTTTTGGCTTTTTGAGGCAGAGTTTCTCAGTTGTAACATGAAGGGCCTGCTTGTTTGTATTTCTGTCCTGCCCAGCCCCCCAGCTGCTTAGCCCCAAAGAAAATGACACAGAGGACTCCGTAAGTTATAAAGCTGATTGGCCCGTTAGGTCAGGCTTCTTACTGGCTAACTCTCACGTCTTGATTAACCCATCTTTCTGATATATTTTAGCCATGTGGCTCAGTACCTTTTTCAGTGGGGCAGCTCACATCCTTCTGCTTTGGTGATTTGGGCAGGAGTGGGAGGAATCAACTTCCTCCTCCCCAGAATTCTCCTGCTCTCCTTGCATCATTTCCATTTTCTGTCTGGTCTTCCTGCCTACACCTCCTGCCTGGCTAATCAGCGTTTATTTAAAAAATGATTGACAGAATACAGACAATTCTCCCGCACTCAGTAGCTATGGAGCCAGTCCTAGAACTTTCTATAGACCAGACCAGGCTGGCCTTGAACTCACAGAGATCTGCCTGCCTCTGCTCCCCCCCCACTGTGTGCTGGGATTAAAGGCCTGCGCCACCACTCAGTGGATCTGGAGTTTTTTGTCCTTTTCTTCTGTTCAGAGTGTAAGATCTGAACGTGTATGTTCATCATTCTATACCACAGACCTGCCTGCTACTCCTGTGTTGACAGGCTTGGGGAGAGCCCCTAGTGATGGGCTACAAGAGTCTGCTTGCCTCTGTCTCGTGTGAGCTTCTTTCTTCAAAGGTTGGCTTCTAGTATGTCGTAAAGGAAAGCTGTTACTAACTGCGACCTTAAACTCTGCAGACACCTGCTACTTTGAGACTTTGCTCTGCTCTGTGATTTTTGTAACCTGTGCTCCCCACAGCGGCAGTCCTGTTTCTCAGCCTTTTGTGAGCACTTAAAGGGCTTAGCACAAAGCTTGCCCTTTTCTTCCCTGGTGGTGCTGGGTAGTAAGGTTATGTCACTGGTAAAAGCAGGGGATCTGCTGACCTGAGCCAGCTCGAGATAAAGTTACATAGCACAGGATGTTGTTACCTAAAGAAAGTGTCCCACCGGCCCAGTTTTCCACTATTTTTTGTTTGTTTTTCGAGACAGGGTTTCCGGGAACTCACTCTGCAGACCAGGCTGGCTTCAAACTCAGAGATCCATCTGCCTCTGCCTCCCCAAGTGCTGGGATCAAAGGCGTGCGCCACTACCGCCCGGCTATATTTTTTTGTCTTTAATTACATGTGTGTATGTCTGTGTGGGGCATGTGCATGTCAGTCAGTGCAGCTGCAAGGAGACAAGAGAGTATTGGATCTTCCAGAGCTGGGATTACAGGGAGTGTAGGCCATTCCATGTAGGTGTCTGGGAACTGATTGATCCCTTTGCAGGAGCACTAAGTGCTCTTAACTGCTAGCTTTCGCTTGCACCTCCAATATCTTTATATGTCCGCGTGTCAGTATGTGCATGTGAGTGCAGGTCAGTGTGCTCAGGCCAGAGGTATGGGATCCCTTGGAGCTGGGGTTAGAGTTCGTTTTGACCCATCGGGCATGGGTGCTAGGAACCAAACTGTATACTCTGCAAGAGCAGTGTGTGCTGATTACTGAGCCATTTGTAGCCTGTTTTGTTGCTTTGGAGTCGCACACTCTACTCTGTGACCAGGTATTCTCCTCTCTCAGCCTCCCAAGTGCTGGGAGTAGTCACCACTCCTGGCTGTCAGTATTTCACTTTGTCAGATCTGTCATTGTGTATAGCCACTGGGCATGGATAGTGAAAATGAATGGAAACACTGGGTACCAAGCTTACCTGCTGACATCCCAACCCTTGAGGAAAGAACAGAGCCCAATACTCTCCCAGGTCTGTGCAAGAGGTTTTTTTTTTTTGCCTTCTCTCCTTGAAACGGAGCTCTAGCTGTATATCCCAGCCTTCAACTTCTGCTTCTCCTGCCTCAACCTTCTGAGTGCTAGGGTTACAGTCACGTGCTACCACACCTGGCTCAAGCTTTGTTTATCTACATGTGTGGCTGTCTGCCACAGGTGTTTGTGGTCTATGGTTTATAAGCAGTTGTGAGCTGCCTGATGGATTCCAGCAACAGAACTGGAATCCTCAAGAAGAGCAGCAAGCACTGACTGCTGAGCTGTTTGGCCTGCCCGCAAGCTTTGGTTTCAGAGCAGCCACTTGTCCCTGCGCTGGGCAAGCTCACAAGTGCCTGTGTCTATGTATCTGCAGTGCTTCTGACAACATTCCCAAGGCAGACACCATCCGGACACTGATCAAAGATCTGTGGGACACACGCATGGCCAAGCTCCGGGTGTCTGCTGACAGCTTTGTGCGACAACAGGAGGCACATGCCAAGGTAGGCGTGGTTCTCCTGTCCCCGCTCAGGGCCAGTGGGCACTGCCAGCCAGTGTGAGTGCTTCCAGGGAGTTGTCAGGATATTCTGCCTGCTCAGCCATGTAAACAGGGATTTGAAGCTGCTTTGAATAACAACTCATGGGGACTTGGGATACGGCTCTTGGAGAGCTGGCCTGGTGCACACAGGCTTCTGGGCTTCACCACAGGAGCACACAACTCATTGGCTTACAAGCGTCTGCTCAGTGAGGTTGGTTTTCTGAAGTCCAAACTTCCTCCGCTCACTGGTTTTTTGTTTCAGCTAGATAACCTGACCCTGATGGAGATCAACAGCAGCGGGGCCTTCCTCACCCAGGCACTTAATCACATGTACAAACTCCGCACAAACCTCCAGCCCCCTGAGAGCACACAGACTTATAGCTTGACTTAGAGGCGCTCAGCTCTGGACGCGTGTGACGGTGGAGAGACGGGTGTGGACACAGGTGGAGGAACTCGGGCACACCGCAAGCTCAACTTCCACAACTTCCATCGATGTGGAAGCCACCAGCTTCCCCCTCGTGGGAAAGAAGAGAAGTCTGCGGCCCAGGACTTCTCGAATGAGCACAGACTCCTGCGCATGTCGTGCACAGCAAGTGTTCAGTTAAGTTCAGTGTCTTCAAGTTTGACCTGTGAAAGCTGTGAGGCTGAGAACTGGGGGGAGGGGAGGGTGGCGCTAATATAAAAAGGTTTTCCTCTTAACATGATTTAGGAAGATTTTATTTTTGGGATGTTGTCAGAAATTACAGCAATATATTCATAAATACCTAATTACTACATTCAACAAATAATATTACAATACAGTTAATTCAAACAAGTACACTTAGAACGGGTTTAATTTCACAGCATCTAAACTGCCCCCAGAGTGACCGAGGCACCTGTCCTCCCTCCTGCCTGGGTCCACTGCCCCAGCAGCGAGGCATAGGGCACACACAAGCACAAAACCTGTGAGATGCCTCCTCGGGTCAAGGCAGCCTCTAGGGTTGAAGTTAAGCACTGGATCAGACAGTGGGGACAGGCTACGGCAAGTAGTGAAGTCAAAGCTTGAGTACTTGAAAGAGCACAGACGGCTGCTAAGTGGCTACCGCACACCTCGGAGGTGCTGAGCCTGCTGTGCGGGCCATCTCCATGCTGGGTTCTGGACATCTGAGGGCAGGGGTGGGAGGCATCTAGTTTGCAGTTCAGTTTAACTGAGATTTGGCAGTGCTGTGAGCATGGCTGCAATTCCCCACTCGTAGGGCAGTGCTCCTCTGGGTACCTAGCCACTAGGTGTTGACAGTCCTAGCTTACTCATCTGGGGTGATGGCAGGCCTTATCAGTTTGGCTCTGATGATGTGGAACAAATCTGATCTGATGAAACATGGAGCCATGGGATCTAACACTGGACTGGTTCATCACAAGCTTGGTGAATTCCCGGCCAGGAGAGATGGCAGTTATCCCTTGGAGGTGAAGTGAGAAGACACGGGCAAGGACTAGGACTCTCATGCACATACTAATTTTCCAGTCCATCCTAGAGCAGATCTGTAGTGGGGAAAAACTGGCAGAGGCCGCCGGGGACTATGTGTGGTACCTGGACGAGTGTGCTGTGTTTTTACCTTCATCAGTGTCTCAGACTATGTGGGATGGGAGAACCACGTGTATGTGGTATGAGTGGCATGCTTGCCTGCCACCTTACTGGCTTGTACCTGGTTCTGATTGTCACTTTACTTGTGAGCATGGGAATATTTAGGGCTCCACAGGCAGGCCAGGGCATTTGGAAGGGACATAGGCATTGCCAGGTCAGTGGCTCAGCTTGTGCCCCAGGCCCACCTGGGAGGTTCTCTTGCATTGGGTCACACTCATTCAGGGGAATTCCTGTGAGATAATGGGGGAGAAGGGGCTGTATGTGTGCCTTAAGTTATGGGGTCTACTTTTCCCAAAGCCATTACACCAAGCAGATTAGCAAAAGCTTCCAGTCATCAGTGTGGAGTTGAGACTGGGACAGGAACACTAAGGTGTGAGCGCAAGCAGCATATAATTAGGAACTCGGTAACGCTCTGTCCCAGGGCATGCAGCCTCTGCTCACCTGCAGACCCTCTTCCGCTGGCTGTAGGGCAGAGACCTCAGCGCCCCTCACCTGCTGCTCCTGTGCCAAGCCGCACTTGTTGACGACTGACAATACTGGGGGCACTTTCTTCTCTGGGTTTGCTAATAACTAGAAGATTCTTGGCAGGGAGACAGCAAACTGCAGGGGGCGGATGGGCAGGGGCTGCCAGCAAGCTGCTTTGTACAACCATTAAGCCTGGTGGCCGAAGGCAGGCTCAGCCTCCTCTCTCCATCCTCCATGTTGGCCAACCCTGACTGAGGGTTCCCTGGTACCGAGCTCTCTGCCATGGCCGTGCCTGTCACAGGAGCTCAGCTCCTGCTGCATGGGGGTCACTCATGCTCTGAACATGACTAGCCCAGCCCCAGGTGCCCCTCAGCCCTGCCGTGGGATGACACAGGTGAGTTCTTCTATTTTCTAAAAGGAACTTCAGCATTTTAATGTCCTGACCAGCAGCAGCACAAACACTAGAAGCAGGTTTTTTTTTAACCAGAAAAAACAAAAACGAGAAAAACAAAGGAAACCCCCAAACAGGAAAAACAAACAAAATTCCCCAAACCACATATTAAAAATGGCAGGCTTTTTATAACAATAATTAAAGTAATAAAAACATACAAAACTTTGTTTTTTTTTAATATATACACAGTACAAGGCTGAAGCACCTTTGACTTTTCTCTCAAAACATATGTTTGTATGAAAACGCCACACACAGCGGTAGCAATCCAGTCAGTGGGCTATCAGTGGACAGCTCCACTGTCTTCCCCAAGGAAAACAAGGTACCTTCGGGTGTGGGTTTGCCTCTAGCTGTTCCAGGGAGAAGCCTTGACTGGCTTGCATGCTCCTGGGACCTGTGGCTTTGACGATGGCGCAGGAAGGTGACTGATCGTGAGCCCTTTGCTTGTACACACCCAGCCTTCTCAGCGCAAGTTAGTCTTCCTCCTGGGAGGAAGGGGTCAACACTCCCAGGGCCGCAGCAAGAGCAAGCTGGGCTCGGCACAGCAACACCAGAAACAACCAACTGGCTCTCCCTCAGCCACATGCATGGTGGGCATCAGTACTGGATACAAAGAATGTGGGGGGAGAAGGAATAAAACCGCCATCAGAAAGAGAAACTGAGTCTTAGCTGAGACAGGGTGACTCGATCACACTGGAGTCAAGGTGATGTCCTCGCTGGAGCCTGGAATTCTTCGCTTCATGCATGGCACGTTCTCAATTTGTAAGCTTCAAACCTCCCAGTGAAAAATATTAAATATTCAAGGTAATAAAATAGATAATATTTCTATGCTATAGGTTCAGCCTAGTGCAAGGGAAATCGTCACCTCGGATATCCCTTAAAGTAACCCCTAGGCCAGTGCATGGCGGGCAAGGCAAGGCACTTCCGTAAGTGGTCCAGCTCCGCCTGGAGCCGCTCCCGCTCCGAGACCATCTTCTGTTTCTGACTCCGAAGCTCCTGAGGAGAAGATGTATATCAGAACCCATTGGTACATACACCAGGGTGAGTGACCTCTGGGGATTGCTAGAATATTCTTCCAGCAACATGTGCTCCTAAAGAACCAGCGTGTACTGCTGATTGGCTCAAACTAATCGGTGGCCAGGTCTGACCAGCCTTGTGCATGTCCTCCTGGGTGAGGGTGGGGGGACACGTCACTGCCACAAGAGCTTTGTGTGTATAGTAGCCTTGGCTGTCCTAGAAATCACTTTGTAGACCAGGCGGCCTTAGACCCACCTGCCTCTGCATCCCAAGTGCTGTGATTAAAGGCGTGCACTACCACCACCGCCCCGCAGATCTTTTTATTTCGTATTTCTAAAATAGAATCTCACTGTGTGGCCCAGGCTGGCCTCATAGTCACAGATCTGCCTGCCTCCTGGGATTAAAGCATGTGCTGCCATGTCTGGCATTAGCTTTGATTTCTTGAGAGCAGACTTCTCCTCTCTAGGGGTGCCTGTAAAAAGCCCCATGCCTGACTCACCGCCATGCTGTGAGAGAGCTGCTCGGCAGTCAGGCTGAGGCTGTAGTTCTGGGCCTCCAGCCGCCGGCACTGTGTCTGTAACACCTGCCGCTCCAGGTTTTGCTCTGAAAAGACAAGAGGTGGTGATGCATCCATCAGCTCTGTATGAGCCGCTGTGTCTTCACCTGCAGTGTGTTCTCAGCTGCACCAACTAACGAATCAAAACAGCCACCCCAGTGCGGAGGGGAAAACCTGGAGTCAGAAGGCAAGTTTAGCCCAGGGAAACTAACAGCTCTCAGATGGACTTTTACAACAAGCTGTTGGTGATGATGGTGGTCAGAGTTGAAGCTATTAGAAAAAGGGCCAGAGTAACTTTCTGACCAAGTGTTTCAGTTGTTGACAAATGCCCACAAAAGACCGACACTCCAAAGTTAAACTACTCCTGATAACAAACTGTCATTAATGGTGGAGCAATCAAATTAGGAAAAGTCATCTCAAGAAGGGAAACAGCCTGGCAGAGGAAAAGCTTAGGTTGTCTCAAGTTTCACAAGCAGGACAAGAGCCCCACCGCCCAGGTCGCAGGTGGCGCAATGACGATGCAGACTGGAAGACGAGGACCCTCCCCCTGTTACTGGGGTTAGCACTCAACCATATGGCAGAGCTCAAGCTCCCGCGTTAGTCTTGTGTCGTCACGGGACTGAACTGTTGAGTTTGAGGGCCAGTTCTCCGGTCCCAAGTGGAGAGCGGGAAAACCATATAGCACAATTATTGTCAGGGAGGCAGTTAACAAGATCCCTAGTCACTTGGCTGCTAAGGACAGCCAGGGTGGTGCCATAAGGGAGCTTCTGACAGACACAGGTGTACCCTTAGAAAGACAAGGACAGCACAGGGAAGTGTCCCAATAGCCTTAAAAGACCTGTAGATCCCACATTTCCCTCTACTCCAAAACCATCTGAGATGCTACCGAGTCCTGTTTCTACATGCCTTAGAGAAAGCAGGTGCTGGAGCAGCACACAGGGAACCCGGTAATCCCAAAATGAGGGCAGCCGGGGAAAGGTGGCCACTTGGGAAGGGGCTCCGGCTACCTGTGTGTCAGTATTCCAAAAATACCTTTCAAGGGGGTGCAGTAGCAAGCATATGCTATGTTTACAGCTTGGTCATGTGCAAAATAAAAAGAGCTTAAGATACAGGAGGAAGTAACTGGCAAGTAAGTAGCTTAGGCCGTGCACTGGAGTAGTCTCTGGACACTGGGGAGATGGGCAAGGGTGTATGTGGTACACATGAGAGCAGTATGGTGTGCAACTCAGGCTGCTTTCAGGAAAAGCATCTAGGAACTTCTGAGTAAGGTAAGCTGCAAAGTGTCCCAAGCTCCTTCAGTGTGGACTCACAAGCATGGTAATCAGGACTGGCCAGAGTTTAGCTATGTGTACAAGTCGGCAGCATTCTGCCACCCTCCTTGAGCAGGGCCTCAGGGCTAGGACTATACCTTATGCTTGCCCTGCAGGAAAACCACTGTCTCCGCACGACTCAAGCAGCCCCTGACTAGCAAGGCTCCAGTGTGGACCAGACTTGCTGATCACCCCGCCCCACAAATCCCTACCTTCTATGTGTTCCTGGTAAGCTTCAAAGATTGCCTCAATCCCTTGCCACTGGCGCCTGGGGGCTTCCTCCGCTTCCTCATCACTGTCATCTTCAACATCGTCCTCAGAGTCCTGGTCCACCTCCTGCATAGGGAGGCCCTTCCTCCCAGCTGGGGGCTCCTGCTGTCCATTGTGCTGGGGCAGGGGGAGCCGGCTGGAGGACTGCAGCTCGGGAATGTTGTAGTGGACTGCCGTGTCGACCTTGTGGTTCTGCTCTGCAGACAGCACAGCTGAGCTCCCTGGGGAGGAGCAAACAAGGATCTTGAGGGGCAGGGGCTCAACTGAAAGTCACCCATGGAGACAAGCACGTGTCAGAGCTCTGATCTATAAGTCTGTGAGCACAGCCTCCTTTGAGAGGGCAGAGGTGTTCCCTGAGGAGGACCAGGGATTGTTCCTCCAACAGGAGGTGGCGCAGCCCTGCTGGTGGCCTCACCCCTTAGATGCCACTTCAGAGAGCCCATCCAGCATTAAGAGCAGGGAGCAATCTGCTGCCTCTGGCCAAAGCACAACTCCCCAGTAAAACCACAAAGACCCAGTTAGCACATCTCTCCTGGGGGCCTTTCCTCACAGGCGAGGTGACATGAGGTCAGAGGTCAGCACTGGTTTTCTGCCTCTCTTGCTCTCCTGTCTTATTTAATCTGACTGGCCAGCAAGCTTCAGGAATGCTGTCTCTGCCTCCAGTCAGCCACCTGAGCTCTTGCCTTTGCTCCCTGGGCCCCAGCAGCAGAGTCAGCTCAGTGAGGGGCACTGAGCTCAGTGTGAGCTTCCTAGCTTGGTGTGGAACCCTTCAACAGGACTGGGCATGGTGACTCAGTTCTCCCTGTTGGGTTTGCAAACACTTCACCTGGGGGAACAAGCAGGGAAACTACCGTCCCTACAATCACCGGGCCCTGGGGGGTGGGCACACAGTACCTGGGCAAAGAACCAGAGCGAGATCTCCAGGAGCTTATGTGGGTGCTGGGAATGCCCTGCTGACACGCAGAGGACACTTGCTTTGGCCTTTCTGAACTGTCATTTGCTAACTAAGGTGTGTGGGTCTTGAGCAGGTACATTAGGTCCTGCTACAAGCCTGAAAGAGATCGAGGCTACCCTCCTCCACTCCCCATGCCCAGTGAGACCTCTAAGTGCTTCACAGGCGTTAAGGCTTGGGAGGTACTGTTGGTATGAAAATGGCTGTGTCGCCCAGCACTAACAGGCGACGGGACGGGTAGCCTGTTACCTTTATGCTTCTGCAGCGCCTTCTGTGTGGACTGCAGTACGGACTCGTGGAACTGGTGTGCAAACTCTTCTGCCATGAAGGGCTCCCAAGGCTTGCTCTTCCCGTTGATGCTGTGGGACAACGGCACAGGAATGTCCTTGGGCGCAGCGCCCCGGAGATAATGAAGCATGCTCAGGCTCTTCTTGCCCCCGGGGGCCTCACTCAGCCTGGCCTTCTCACCGCTGCTAGGAGCTGGCTCCTGGACTCTCAAGAGCTCCTGGGGCCGGAGCTGTTCCAGTCTCCCAGTCTCCGCGGCCTTTGGGACGTCTGACGCGGAGGCAGGGACCCCGGCAGGCTGATCGGTTTCCAGAGGAGCTGGCTGTGTGGCTGGTTCTTTGAGAGACAGAAATGAGGAAAACATTATAAGCTGTGGAAAGACAGGCACAAGGAGCTCATACTCGCAGAAAGACCCGGCGTGTCCACCCTATGTAAACGCTGTGCACGAGCTAGAGCCTCAAGAGTAGCGTGTTTAGCAGCGAGTCCAACTGTGAGCAGTTCCCAAGGGACAGGTGGGAGAGCAGCAGGAAGTGCCGAGAAGGTGAGAGTAACTTCATCCAACTTAGGAGAGCAGATGAAGAGACAGCAAGAGGGACCCCTGGCTTCAGCTTTCTTCAGCTGGAGAGCAGCAGAGAAGAGCGAGAGCAGGTGCTGGAGTCTGGAGAGCCAGGCGGGATCTGCAGCGCGGTGTCCTCTGGGGACAGCACGCCCTCTGGGGGACGGCAGCTACCGCCACCACCATCTGGACTTCATGCCTGCCTTCTAATTTGCATTGCGTCCTAAGGCCCTGCTCAACCAGGATGGCGGCAGACCACACAAGAGGGATGGAGAGAAGCCCAGCTTCCAGTAGGTCAGGTTCACCACGAAGATGAGACTTTGAATGCCACTTCTAACCCTGTGTGGCCCAAGCTACAGGACGCTGGAGGGCAAGGTGCCCTTGCCTTACCACTCAGGGAGATGGTAGGACTGTCCCTCGCAGAGTTTGTCACTGAATCTGCCACTGCTGCGGACAGTGCCCTCTGCTTCATTGCACGGAGCATCTCAACAAGCCTCTCTTTGTCTGTGAGGAAAGCAGTCCGAGGTTAGCAGGACTTCTGTGAGGGAGGAAAGGTGGGCTCTGGACACCGTGATTGGCAAGTACAAGCCCTTTACACCAAGAGGCACCAAAGGCAAGCACCATGGCTGGCTGTGCAGACAGGAAGAAGGTGACGGCAGCCGACTCTTTATTTTCCCTGCATGGCTCATACATTCCAGGCAGCCACATCTACAGCCACGAGCAGCAGCTGCCTGGGGGCTTCCACGGTGACTTCCTTCTCAGCAGATAATCTGATTTGAAGACCAGGGGTGGCCCCAACACAAGGGCACCCCCCCAGAGACCAGGGAGGGTCACAGCCATTTCCTGCGAAGGAGAGCGTGCCATAGATCCCCGCTTAGGCGGCTCTTCCTGCCAACTCTGAAACTTAAGAGCCTTCAGTGCTGCCGGCGTCCTTTAGACATGAAGCCAGGTGAAAAGTCGGGCTTGCGAACAACTAGGCATGTGTCCAAAGGCTTGTGCTGGCAGTCAGCCCGCCACTAACCCTTGCTGGGAAGGCGAGACCTCCACCATGCTTGTTAAAAAATGGAAAAAGAAACTGTCACCTCCAATAAAGAAGCATGTCAAACTGACTGAAGACCTGGAGACACTGTTTTCCGGTGACTCTCTGGAAGAGGCCAGTGCCCTTAAGGGGCCTGAGGCTGTGTACATTAATGCCTTAGCCCGAGACGGTGTTGAGCTGATCAAGGAAGCCTCAGCCTGCTGTGGCCACGCCATGTCTTCTATGCTGTGAATTCCAGTTCCACGTCTCTTCCAACATGGCCCTAGGATACCAGACTGATCTGGAAGCATCTTTCTGGGCAAGTTGTGTGTTTACTGTGTGTTGGCTGGACTTGATATCTACAGGCCACCAATATGGCTTGCTCTTCAGGCCTCCCAGCGTCAAAAACAGTGCACAGTAGAGCTCACTGGTGTACCCAAGGGGAAGGGCCTGGGTATGCAAGTATGCAAACCCTGAACATGCTACAACAGAAGGCAATACCTCCTGTCAATCCTAGCGAAAGCCCTGGAAGCACCCTGTTTCAAGAGGCCCCCTGATCAAGTGTAAGAGGATGCAGGAGGAGCCTGATAGGCATTGGTTGTATATATAGGTACATTAGTCTTCACATCCCAATAGGACACATGCTAGAGCAAAGTGGCCACTCATTAGCCCACGCTACCCAGGAGCCCCCTGGCCTATGTGTGCAGGCCAGAGTAAGGCCATACCTTTCCTCTTCTCTGCACTGATGTGTGTCAGGTTGAAGAAGGTCAGGAACTTCCTCTTCTCCTCAAAGTTAGGGCTGTTGTTCATCTCGTCGGGGCTGTAGCGGGTGGACAGAGCCAGCCTGGGGGAAGGTGTCTGCCGCTTGCTCTGAACCGCAGGTGGAGATGGGCTTCTCTCTCTCAGCATCCGCCTCCGCTTCCGGCGCTTCTGTGCTACCAGCTCTTCCTTCTGCTGCTGGGTGGTCAAGCCAAAAAGTTGCAAAAACTCTAACTTCTAGATGGGGAAAAAAAACAAACAAGTGTGAAGTCACAGTCGCCAGTATGCTTTTACTGCCCCAGGGGTCCCGTGGGCTACAGAGTCTGAACTGGAGCTAGGCAGGCCACAGGGGAGCAGAAACAAGGGCCCCCAAGTGGGGACCGACAGCCCAACTAGCCCAAAGCATGCAAGAGTTGAGAAGGACCTGTACCTCAGAGGACGTATCCAGTTTGAGGGGTGGCTGCTCAGCCACGCAACGGAGGTGTGCCCTGACCTCCTCCTCATCACTCTCGTCGTAAGAGTCATCGAGGTCATAGTAGTACCCTGATGGCAGAAATAGAGACACTG